TTATTACAAGTCACAGGAGCCAGGATGGAATTAGCTTGGGCTGCTTATTTTGGTTATTACCGGTAAGCAAAGGCTAGCAATTCTGGCAGTTACTGATAAGAAAAGGTAAGCAGCTTTACATAGTTTGCAGAACAAACTAGCAGTTCTATTTACAGAAGCCAAGGCCAGCAGTTATTGTGAGGAGAATGGGGCAGCCGTTGCAACTTATTTTAAAAACAGTTTTGTATTTTATAAAATGGCGTTGCTCAGGTTCTGGCTCTAGGCTAGCACACATAGCCTACCCTTGGAGCTTAATATTTTTTAAAAGAATGACAGTTGGCCGGGCGCGGTGGCTCAAGCCTGTAATCCCAGCACTTTGGGAGGCCGAGGCGGGTGGATCACGAGGTCAAGAGATCGAGACCATCCTGGTCAAAATGGTGAAACCCCGTCTCTACTAAAAATACAAAAAAGTAGCTGGGCATGGTGGTGCGTGCCTGTAATCCCAGCTACTCAGGAGGCTGAGGCAGGAGAATTGCCTGAACCCAGGAGGCGGAGGTTGCGGTGAGCCGAGATCGCACCATTGCACTCTAGCCTGGGTAACAAGAGCGAAACTCCATCTCAAAAAAAAAAAAAAAAAAAAAAAAAAAAAAAAAAAAAAAAAAAAAAAAGAATGACTGTTATGAACCCATCTGCACTCTTACCCATGAAACCAATGAAAAAAGTATGTGAAAGCATCACAACTATTACAAAATGGCTTATCTCGTGAAGAATGCAATCCATGACCATAAAACAGACAACAGAGCAAATACAGAGCCTTAAACACAATTGTTCTGTGTTGTAGCCGCGGGACTGTGCGTCCTTCCCCATGCTGCCAAGTCACTCACCGTGAAAATAGTGGACCTTGAGTTACCATCAGAAAGTCTAACCATACTCAACAATTGCAATCTGCACAACGGCTAGCCTTAGAAAATAAACAGCTAGAGAACGTGCATTTTGTCCTTAGTTCCCAGCACTTGTTTTCTCTCTTTGTTGGATCATTTCCATTGGTGATGATGCCCTTTTCTGAGGTCCTCAGATATTTGCCAGCTCTTTCCTTCCAATAATTTCTCTTAGAATATCATTCCCTCTTAGTGTGAATTTAAGTAAGTGGGTCTTTGCATTTTAAGCATTTTCCTCAATTTGGAACACAAGATACTGCCTCCTGTTAAATATTTTCAATGTTAGCAAACACATGTTGAGGATGACATGTGATGAACATGTTTAGAATGGCACAGGTGTTAAGGATAAAACACATTAAGGATGGCATGTGATTAATCTATGTTAGGGATGACAAACATATTCAGGCAGGCAGAGGTTTTCTGTACTCCATCCTAAGCATTGTGCTGTGAGTTAGGGCCCAATCTACTTTATTCTTAGGTCATTTTTTTTTTTTTTTTTTTTTTTTTTTTTTTTTTTTTTTTTGTTTGTTTTTTTGAGACGGAGTTTCCCTCTGTCACCCAGGCTGGAGTGCAGTGGTGCGATCTTGGCTCACTGCAACCTCTGCCTCCTGGGCTCAAGCAATTCTCCTGCCTCAGCCTCCCAAGTAGCTGGGAATACAAGTGCCTGCCACCATGCCTGGCTAATTTTTGTATTTCTTTCTTTCTTTCTTTTTAGTAGGGGTGGGGTTTCACCATGTTGGCCAGGCTGGTTTCGACCTCCTGACCTCAGGTGACCTGCCCGCCTCGGCCTCTCAAAGTGCTGGGATTACAGGAATTTTAGAGTGGAAAGTAAACTTGAAGAAAATCTAGTCTCCTCTTTTTTTTTTACAGGTGAGTCTATATAAGTTCAACACAAAGATGAAATGCTTTATTCGAACTCATAAGTAACAGAGGTTGGTGGTTAGCAGATAGATAACACTGAAATCGTTTATCGTGTGAAAAGAATGGATGAGGGATGAATGGTACTAGGGTTGGAGTCTGGGTTTTCCAGAAAGTAGGAGGCGCTTTCTCCTTACACTGTGTGCTGACATTCCATACGTTTCTGTAATCCTAAATTTAGAGGCACTGAGCCAATTGCTTATTTTTGATTTCCAGCAATCATCACTTTTGGTTTATGATGAATTCTGAAATAAAGGTTTTCCAAATGCATGTATTATGTCCATGACATGCAACCCTGGAAAACACCATATTTGGTTAAATCACTTCATATTTTTCTTTCAGAGGTAAACGTACTTTGAGATCTCTGTATTTGTTTGCCAAGGCCATGGTAATAAAGTATTGCAAACTGGGCAGATTCGAAAAAAAGAAACGTATTATCTCGCCATTGTGGAGTTTGGAAGTCCAGGATCAAGCTATGGCAGGGGTGGTTTCTTCTGAGCTTGAAGGCAGGGTCTATTCCATTTCACATCCTGAGGCTGTGGTTATGGACTGGCAACCCTCAGCATTCCTTGGCTTGTAGAAGTTCCAATCCCAATATTTCCTTTATTTTCACATGGCACTTTCCCTGTATGTGTATATCTATCTCTGCATCCAAATTTTCCTTTTTTATGAGGACATGAGCCATACTGGAGTAGGGCGCACCCAATGATGCCATTTTAGCTTAATTATATCTGTAAAGACTTTATATCTCCAAATAAAGTCACAATCTGCAGTATTGGGGGTTAGGACCCCACTATATCTTTTTGGGGAGACACAATTAAGCCTTTGAGACTCAATATTTATTTGATTGCCCTTCTATGTCTCAGTCACAATCTATTCTGATTTCTTAAAAAAATCACTGTTGAATTTCACTAAAACAATGAATTTCACTATACATAGGATGTGGTTTTGTAACATAGCAAATTGCATAGACAAGTTCGGATTTTTAATTTCTGTGTTGGAGTATTTGTGTTAATATAAACTGAGACTACCTGTGGGTGTTACAATTAGGTTTACTGCTACTCAAAATAATTGTTTGTAAATGTTTGGGCGTTTGTTTATCTAGGTTATCCATCAGTGGCATTGCATGCTATGGGAACATACTCTTAAGCAATAATTACTAGACTTACACAGCCTCTATCTTCAAAGATGTAAAAACACGATAACCTTCCAGTGTCTCATTTTCCTGGCCACTCACAATAGGGTTAATGATACCCAACGGTCTCCCCTAAGATCAGAGATGTTGTGATGACTTATTAATATGTATCACCTGTAAAAGGAAAATAATATCTTGGGAACCCAAATCACCAAGCCAAACGGAAAAGTCAAGCTGGGAACTGTGTCAAACCTGCCTCCCATTTTATTCCTAAGTAAGGCAGCTATCAAGATTTTTAAAAGCTAAATAGCTTCCTCACAATTTGTCCACAAGGACATTCCTCATGGACTTAGGACAGGCGGAACTCAAAGTCAGCCCTTGAGGCTCACGGGTGAGACAAACGCATATCTGATCCCTCTCTCCGCCCTACTGTTTCACTGAATCAGAGGAAGGAATCAGGGACTGTTCCCCTACCTTCAAATGTAAATTGTGTGTTCAGTGACAAAGTCTAATCAGGGACTCAAAACAATGCAACCATTTGCTTCTTATCTACGAAGCCCCACTTGGATTACACATCTTGGTGGGTGCCTCATGTCTCCCTAAAACGTATAAAAGCAAGTTGTGTCTCAAGCATGTTGGGCACATGTCCTTGGGACCTCCTGAGGCTATGTCATGGGCACGCCCTTAACCTTGGCAAAATTAACTTTCCAAATTGATTGAGACCTGACCCGGATATTTTGCGTTCACAGATCCAAATTCTCCCTAGAAGAGAGGTGATTCGCCGGGTGCGGTGGCTCACGCCTGTAATCCCAGCACTTTGGGAGGCCGAGGCGGGTGGATCACGAGGTCAAGAGATCGAGACCATCCTGGTCAACATGGTGAAACCCCGTCTCTACTAAAAATACAAAACATTAGCTGGGCATGGTGGCGCGTGCCTGTAATCCCAGCTACTCAGGAGGCTGAGGCAGGAGAATTGCCTGAACCCAGGAGGCGGAGGTTGCGGTGAGCCGAGATCGCGCCATTGCACTCCAGCCTGGGTAACAAGAGTGAAACTCCGTCTCAAAAAAAAAAAAAAAAAAAAAAAAAAGAGAGGTGATGCGCAGAGCGTGTTTGTGTCTGTCATTTCTGCTATTACCTTTGTTCTGGTTCCTCTGGGCTCATCAAGAAGGAGGTGCTTGTTTACCTGTAGCCCAGAACTGGCTGCCCTGGTGGAAAGCCTGGGGTAGACACCCGACTTCTCACTGTATTACCTGCCCCATTGCTTCCAAAGCCTTGGTTTGTTCAAGCACTGCAGCTGTCTATTTAGCATTTTTTTTTCAGAGCCCGTTAGGAGGCAGAGATTTGAGTCTGTTTGTATTCGTGATATAAGAGAAAAATAGAGGGAGCAGGTGAAGGGAGGAAGAGAGGCTCTGAGAAACTGGGAAGGTCAGACTCGGTGCAGGCTTCCTCCAAAGCCCACCCCAGCCCCGCCCACTAGGCACCGCCCCATTACCTGCAAGCCCCGCCCCCAAGGCCCAGCGCACCGGCAGCCCCGCCCACTAGGCACCGCCCCATTACCTGCAAGCCCCGCCCCCAAGGCCCATCTCCCCTACAAGCCCCTCTCCCACTAGGTTTCACTCCTCACCTACAAAGAGCCACCCCTCACTAAGCCCCACCCCTCACTTGCACAGCCCCGCCCAACATAGCACGCCCCTCTTCACCTGCGCAGCCCCTCCCTCCACCAGGCCCCACCCAATCGAGAGAGACACGTTTCCCGCCACGCCCCACTGTCCTCTGTGCCCACGTCCCCCTCCTATCACCTGCCCCCATCCTTCTCCTGGCCGCACACCGCCCCTTTCTAACGCTAACCACGCCCCTCGCCTCGGCCCGCCTCCTTCGGCCCGCCGGCCCCGCCCCTTCCGCCCTCCTCCCTGCTCACCTTCCTCCTTCCCGCCCTCCTTCCCTCCCTGTAACAGGGGTGGCCGCCCTTTTCCCCTGCAGCCTATCGCAGAGGGCGTCGCCGTCCACGCTGACCAATAGGAGTGGTGGCCGGCACCGCGAGCCCCGCCCCGCGCCTGCGTCGGGTGAAGTGGGCTCCCTGGCGAAGGCAGTGCAGGTCAGACGCCATGTGGCGCTGCGGCGGGCGGCCGGGCCTGCTGACGCTGAGGCGGCTGGGCGGCGGGTGAGACGCGGCGCGCCGGGACCCGGGAGGGGAAGGTCTGGGGCGAGCCGGGGCTCCCGCGTCCGCGGCCCGAGGACCCCGGAGCGCCTGCCCGCTCCCGGGGGCGGCACCTCCGGGGGCGGCACCTCGGGCCGCGGGGCCCTCCGTCGGCGTGGGCTCGAACCCGGGCACTGGCTGATGGCGTTGCCCCCCCGGTCACTTCAGAGACCCGAGGCGCCCGCAGCCCACGCGTTAGAATCAAAGTCCTGCTGTGTTCGGGGAACTGGAGCCTCCCGGAACGGAACTGTTCTGTTTTTTTAGTGACTCAGTTTATGGGGGAAAAAATGACGAAGCGGTTTGGCGTTCGCGGTAACCCACGAGCCCGTGTTTAATAGAAGGTAGCGTTCGGCGCCGCCGGCGCGGGCCTGGAGACACGGGGCGTCCGTGGCGTGGGTTCGGCGGCAGCAGGTTTCTGGAAAGTTCGCGGGAGGCCCTGGCCTCGCCGCTCAGGGCTTTCCTATCATGTCCTTGATGATCAGTAATTTCTTAAAATGTTGCTCAGGCTCTTAACTCTGAAATTTGCGAAGTCAGTCAGCAGATGTTGAGTATACCTTCATAACCTTGCCAGTGACTGAATAGGCGTTTTTCTCCCCCGTGCACATCGTCTTTAAGTATTTAGGTGGGTTTATTGATGTAGAAAATCCCATAAGACGTACAATTTGAGAAAATAATACTTTTTTCAAGAGAAGGGATCTTGCTATGTTGCCCAGGCTGGCTTTGAACTCCTGGGCTCAACTGATCCGCTTCCGCAGCCTCTCAAATTGCTGGGATTACAGGTGTGAGTCATCTCACCCAGCTGAGAATAATTGTGAGAAAGTAAGTGGGTTGGGGGCGGTGGCTCACCCCTCTAATGCCAGCATTTTGGGCGGTCAAGGCGGGTCGGGGTGGGGTGGGGGGTAATACCTGAAGCCAGGAGTTTGAGACCAGCGTGGCCAACATGGTAAAACCCGCCTCTACTAAAAATACAAAACTTAGCAGGGCATGGTGGTGAGTGCTCATATTCCCAGCTATTTGGGAGGCTGAGGCAGGAGAATCTCTTGAATCCAGGAGGTGGAGGTTGTGCCATTGCACTCCAGCCTGGGCAACAGAGCAAGACTCTGTCTCTAAATAAATAAATAAATATACTTTCCCCATGACCAAGCTGAAGGTTGCCCCTAACTGCTCATAACCCTCTCCCTCGCTTTTAATTATCATTGTCTTGACTTACAGAAAAGTCCTTGCCTCCCTATTTTTTTTTTTTTTTTTTTGAGACGGAGTTTTGCTCTTGTTACCCAGGCTGGAGTGCAATGGCGCGATCTCGGCTCACTGCAACCTCCGCCTCCTGGGTTCAGGCAATTCTCCTGCCTCAGCCTCCTGAGTAGCTGAGATTACAGGCACACACCACCATGCCCAGCTGATTTTTTTGTATTTTTAGTAGAGATGGGGTTTCACCATGTTGACCAGGATGGTCTCGATCCCTCGACCTCATGATCCACCCACCTCAACCTCCCAAAGTGCTGGGATTACAGGCTTGAGCCACCGCGCCCGGCCCTTGCTTTTTCTTTATATTTTACCACCTATATGCAGTCTGACAATACCTTGTTACCTGTTTGAATAACACCTCTTGAGGATAATCCTGTATCGTGTACCTTTCGTTTCACATGATGTGACCCACATCTTTGTTTACGTGGAGCTGTAGGCCCTTTACTTTATTGGTCCTTAGGGTTTTTGTTTACTGAATGATTAGTCTGCAGTTTATCTGTTCTCTGCGGACATTTGGGACTGTCAGGGTTCGTGCTGACACTCTTGTCCGTGTGTGCTGGGGCAGTGGTGTGCGGTGTGGAGGTGAGTGTCTCCGGTCTTCAGCTTTGCTAAAGAATCCAACTGCCGGCTGGGCGCAGCGGCTTACGCCTGTAATCCCAGCACTTCGGAAGGTCTAGGCGGGTGGATCACAAGGTCAAGAGATCGTGACCATCCTGGCCCCAACATGGTGAAACCCTGTCTCTACTAAAAATACAAAAAATCAGCTGGGCGTGCTGGTGCACGACCTTAGGCCCAGCTACTTGGGAGGCTGAGGCAGGAGAATCGATTGATCCCGGGACGTGTAGGTTGCAGTGAGCCGAGATCTCGCCACTGCACGCCAGCCTGGTGACAGTGAGACTCCATCTCAAAAAAAAAAAAAAAATGCCAAGTGCTTTTCCAAAGTCGTTCCACTTTATACTCCCTGTAGTAGTGTATTGTAGGGCTGAAGGCCCCCAGGGTTGTGGGGTGTGCCTTATGCTGTGCTGAGGCGCAGGATCCGAGAAATAAAGAGACAGGACACAGAAGTACAAGGAAATTGCAGCTGGGCTCGAGGGGCCACGCCACATATGAGCAGAGTCAGGCGAGGCCCCCGAATGTCCAGAAGCGTGAGTATTTATTGTGTATAGGTTAGGGGGCAGGGCTGAGTGAAACCATCTTTAAGGATAGTGATAGGGTCGTGAGCAATAAAACAAGGGGTTCACCCCCATTAGGTCACCTAGGCTAGAAGATGGGCCCTGCGCAGTGAGAGGGTGCAGTGTGCAATACTTCTGTCTATGGGCAAACTACTTCTAAGGTTTATTGGGGGGATGCTTTAAGTCACACAGTTGTAACAGAGCTGTCAGGGTTACCGCCACCTGCTGGCAGCTTCCAATGAGTTCTATGGGAAGATGCTTTTTGAGCAGCACAGTAGCAGGAGCTGATTGATAAAGTTCACAGTTACCAAGGTGGATTGCCGGTCTGAGGGCAGCCTTCCACAAGAACTGGAGCAAGGTCCTACAACTCCTTTATCAGGAGGAGTGGCTCTCGCCGCAAGCCTGCCATACAGCGGGTATCTTTACGATACTGAACACTGCCGCCTGGGCCATGGATTCTTGTCCTGGTTTAACTGTTTTCCCTTAAATCATGCTCTGCACTGTGTCTGCTCTAGGCATTCCTCTGACTATAAGCTGCTTATCCCTTAATTCATGCTCTGTACTGTGTCCACTCTAGGCATTCCTCCGATTATGAACTAAAATATTATATGTGTGTGTGTGGAAATACTCTTCAGGTACTCAGACTATGAACCATTATATGGTTATATATAGAGGATTATGTAAAGGGATTCTTCAAGCTGTAATTCTATAAACTAATATATGATTATGTAAAGGATTATATAAAAGGAAATAGCTGAGTGGTAACACTATAAAGTGAGATATTCTTCAAGCCCTATCTGTGCCAGGGTTCTGCCTAGGTCTCTTTCCTTGGTGCCTATATGGGGGGTTACCCACAGTGTATGAGAGTTCCTGGTAATATTAGGCTTTTAACATTTTCACCCATTTGTTAGGCTTGAAATGGAATTTAACTGTAGCGTGAGTTTCCTGCTGTACTGTGGAGGCTTGTGAGGATTCTGTGAGGGAATGCAGCCCTTTTGTTTAAAAGTTGTTTCTTAAGGGGAATTTTTTTTTTTTTTTTTTTTTTTTTTTTTTTTGGGACAGAGTTTCACTCTTGTTACCCAGGCTGGAGTGCAATGGCGCGATCTCGGCTCACCGCAGCCTCCGCCTCCTGGGTTCAGGCAATTCTCCTGCCTCAGCCTCCTGAGTAGCTGGGATTACAGGCACGCGCCACCAGGCCCAGCTAATTTTTTGTATTTTTAGTAGAGACGGGGTTTCACCGTGTTGACCAGGATGGTCTCAATCTCTTGACCTCGTGATCCACCCGCCTCGGCCTCCCAGAGTGCTGGGATTACAGGCTTGAGCCATCGCGCCCGGCTCTTAAGGGGAATTTAAACCATAATTGTATTATAGTTATTCGTGAACATGTGTAAAGAAAAGATTTCCAATATTGAAGCTTTGGTTAAGATAAAAGGTCATTAACTTGGAAAGGAACTTACCAGAAATTAGTTTTCTGGATTGTGCAAGATTTTGGAAGATGCAGTGTTTAATTTTTCTTTAATTAATTAATAGTCCTTATCACATGAGAGTATTTTCACTCTGTTGCTGGATAATGTTAGCCAGATAATTTTCCTGTAACTCATCTAATGTAGTTGATGAGTTACTCTTCTTTATCTAGGCATGCATACCACAAAGCGTGGCGATGGAGCAGTACCCGGGCTTGTGAGAGGGCTCTGCAGTATCAAGTGGGAGAGAAAATCCACGGCTTCACCATAAACCAGGTATGGCCTCACTGTAAACCAGGTACGGCTCCTCCCCGGCATCTCCCTTCAAATCCGCAGGCACTCCGGGTATGGCTTCTGGCGGACGTGCAGAGCCCTTCAAAGCAGAGACTTGCCTTTTCATCCTTGTGTCCCGAGGCCATGGCCCAGCTTCGGCTGTATGGTAGCTACTCAGCTGAACAGCTCTTGTGAATGAAATGACCTTCAGTCCCTTCCTGGAGTCCCGCAAAGCCTGAATCTTGTCAGATTTTAGAAAATAACCCTTTTAGCTGGGTCCCTGTGATCAGACACACTAGTGTTTCTGCAGCCAAACCTGATGATTTACCGATTGTGATCATGAAGACTAAACGTCCTGATCTGTTCGGTCAGGTTTTGCCATCAAATAGTTTGCTCTAAACTTCTGCAGAAACTTTGTTCTTTGAGCCATTTGGTTTTGAGAATTATAGAGAAGAAATTGTAGACCTATACTTACTTGGGTTTACATTAAAATGAATTTTTGTTTTGTGATTTTGCTTCAACCTTTTGCATTGTTTTTTATTTGGCATAATAACTAAAAATGACACACTTCACATATTTGGCTGGCTGTTGGCTTTGTTTGATGTTATAGCAAATGTAAAAGACAAACAGCTTACCATCTAGAAAGACTGATGCAGCTGTGACTGGGGACACAGTGGACGCCATGCGGTGTGCCGAGGACAACAGTGGAGAGGAGTGGGAGCTGCTGCTGCTGGGGGAGAGGGAAGAGCTCCTGGATAGGGTGATGTGAGAGCGGCCGGCAAGGTCCAGGCATGAAACCAGACTCAGAGCATTTGTGAAACCCTGCAAAGGCTGGCCAAAAACACTTGGATTTATAGTACAGGTTACTGTTAATAAGGGCCTTACCCAGAGTGGTTGATTCTTCTTTATTTTTCAGATTTTATAGAAACCTATTTATTTTTGAGACTGGGACTTGCCTTTTCACCTAGGCTGAAGTGTGGTGGCATGATCTTGACTCACTGCAGCCTTGAACTCCTGGGCTCAAGTGATCTCTTGTCTCAGTCTCCCAAGTAGCTGGGACAAGGTGCCACCACACCTGGCTAATTGTGTGTGTGTGTATGTGTGTAGATGGAAACTTGCTTTGTTGCCTAGGCTGGTCTCAAATTCCTGGCTTCAAGCAATCCTCTTATCTGATGTATTAGTTTAGTCTCACATAGCTATGAAGAAATGCCAAAGACTGGGTAATTGATAAAGAAAAGAAGTTGAGTTGACTCAGTTCTGCATGGCTGGGCAGGCCTCTGGAAACTTAACAATCATGGTGGAAGGCACCTCTTAACAGGGCAGCAGGAAAGAGTGAGAATCAAGTGAAGGGGGAAGCCCCTTATGAAACTATCAGATCTCATGAGAACGTACTCACTGTCTTGAGAATAACATGGGGAACCGCCCTCATGATTCTGTTACCTCCCACCAGGTCCCTCCCACAACATGTAGGGATTATGGGAACTACAGTTCAAGATGAGATTTAGGTGGGGACGCAGCCAAACCCTATGACCTTGGTCTTCTAAAGTGCTGGGGTTATAGGCGTGAGCCACTGTGTCCAGCCATTGGAACTTAGGATAAGTCATGATTCTTGTTTGAGAAATAGCTACCATGAAAGCTATTACTGTTATGCTGTATATGATTAGAAAGCAGACATCTCACTGCATCCGCTGATTTTACACGCATTGGTCGTCTATTACAAAGTACAGTAAGCTTAGAAACATAAGTAATTTAACAGCTGTAGGTTATGCAGGTTGTAGTGGACCGCTTTATGCATGAGTGTTGGATGGCAGGCTCCCTAGATTGGGCTGGATTGATACCCAAGATCTGACTTCTGCCAGTGGCTTGCTGTGCGAGCTTAGACAGGTGACTCTTGTGGCACCTGGAAGAGGGGGCGGTGAGTGGTGTGGTCATCATAGGGTCATGGTATGTGATTGAGGGAGAAGTCTGGCTGGCACGACTGGAGAGAAGACAGTTTCTTTAATACTGAGGAGTGTGGACACCACCAGGAGGCTTACCTAAAGTAGGAGATGACCTTCCACCATGCCCCAGGACTGAGGATTCTTTTTTTTTTTCTTGGGGGCTTTCCTATCCTCCCAGCCCCTCCAGCAGTTCTGGCAGCCCCAGCTTTGTGCTTCTAGCTACCACGGAGAATCCATGGAGCCTGGAGACCTGCAGCCCCTCCCTCTGTCGCAGGCTAGCGCACTCCCGCATTTACCCTCCTTGCAGGGCCATTCTGAACACTACAGGAGATGAGATGCACAAAAGCAGGGGCCGCGGGGCAGATGGTGCAGGGGAGCTGTGGCACTCAGATGCATGCAGCCCAGTACCATGGGAAGGGCGGACACCAGGGTGAATCCTGGCTTTGTGATTTGGGCAGCTTATTTCATCACTGTGAGCCTCAGTTTTTTTTCATCTGTAAATGAGGATGAGAATATCTCCCTTACAGGGTTTTATGTGACATGATTACAAAATGCATATACAAAAAAGAATAAAAAATTAAAAAAAAAAAAAATAGAAAATGCCTAGCCAGTAGTAAGCACTCAAAAAAATATATATATACATTCTCATCTGCCTTTTTTAGGTCTTACTTTCCTCGTTTGTAGGATGAGGGACTTGGACAGGTTGGTTCTGTCCTGTCAGGCTCTGAAATGCTGGCTTCCCGGTGTCACCTAATTTCAGGCAGAAAAACCAGTTTTCTCAGTGTCTTGAAGATAATCATTTCAAAGGCCATTTTGTCTAAGTTTAGCTGGTTTTGTTTTTCTTGTTAACTCAGGTGACATCTGTTCCTGAGCTGTTCCTGACTGCAGTGAAGCTCAGCCATGATGTCACAGGAGCCAGGTATTTACACCTGGCCAGAGAAGACACAAATAATCTGTTCAGGTAGGTGATACTTTGTAAGAACATGGTCTTGAGTGTTTTTATTTAAAACGGGTGTCCAGTCTTCTGGCTTCCCTGTGCCACATTGGAAGAATAGCAGTAATCTTGGGCCACACGTAAAATACACTAACACTAAGGATAGCTGATGAACTTAAAAATAAAATACCTCAGTGTTTTAAGAAAGTGCATGAATTTGTATCGGGCCGCGTTCCAAGCTGTCCTGATCCTGTGAGCTGCAGGCCGCAGGTTGGGTAAGCTCAATTTAAAGCATTGACTGTCCATTACATGGTTCAAAATAATATCTCACTAGTATTCTTATTGACAGAGCATCTTGAATAATAAGGAAAAGCTTACCTTATAATCTCATCAAAATATATAGACTGTAAATTATAGTTGGAAAACCTCCTGCTGGAGGATTGTGGTGTCAGCACGATGAGTTCTAGTAGCCTGAGGTTGTCATGCGTCCGGGAACTCTGCCGACAGCACTAGCTGAACCTTTCACATTCTGTTCACTGTCCTTCCCCAGCGTGCAGTTCCGCTCCACCCCCAGGGACAGCACGGGAGTTCCTCACATTTCACCTTCCATTCACCCTCCTTCCCTAGTGTGCAGTTCCGCTCCACCCCCAGGGATAGCATGGGTGTTCCTCACATTTCACGTTCTGTTCACTCTCCTTCCCCAGCGTGCAGTTCCGCACCACTCCCATGGACAGCACTGGAGTTCCTCACATCCTTGAGCACACTGTCCTCTGTGGGTCTCAGAAATATCCATGCAGAGACCCTTTCTTCAAAATGTTGAACCGCTCCCTCTCCACGTTCATGAACGCCTTCACAGGTAAGACCGGTGTCCTGAACAGAAACTGCACTTGGCTTTGCAGGCACACTCACTGGAATTGTTAGTTTCTGAGAAGGAAAGAGGGTAGTGGGTGACGAATGTACTAGAATTTTTACCTCTTTCTAGTTGAAAGACGTTAGAAATTTAATCCTTCAGGAAAGCCACATGGTAGTGAGATTATAAAAACTAGCATTTTTTTTTTTTTTTTTGAGACGGAGTTTCACTCTTGTTACCCAGGCTGGAGTGCAATGGCGCAATCTCGGCTCACCGCAACCTCCGCCTCCTGGGTTCAGGCAATTCTCCTGCCTCAACCTCCTGAGTCGCTGGGATTACAGGCACGCGCCACCATGCCCAGCTAATGTTTTTGTACTTTTAATAGAGACGGGGTTTCACCATGTTGACCAGGATGGTCTCGATCTCTTGACCTCGTGATCCACCCGCCTCGGCCTCCCACAGTGCTGGGATTACAGGCTTGAGCCACCGCGCCCGGCCTAAAAAACTAGCATTTTAAGAAAAGGTCTGTGAACTTTTCCCTCAAAGGTTCAAAACGGTTTTCTCTTGGGGATATCACTGGAATGCCAGGCTTCCAGAGTTACCAGTAATGTTGGTATTTGAGTTTTAGTAAGACTCACGATAGTGGATAGGCTGCTGATGTGAACAGTGTGTTCCGTGAGGGAGTGAGATTGGAGAGCAGGTTAAATCCATGCTCTTAGGGAATGAGGTCATCGTTGTAGATGTATGAGAGTCTCTGGAGAAACTTGAAGAATGAGCCCTGGTGCTCATTGAGTGCAGATCCTGAGACAGGTCTGGGAAAGCAGCACTTGGAGTTAGGAGCTGGGACAGCTGCTGAGGCCGGGGGCCAGAGCGCAGGGCCACTGCCTGTGTCCCAAGATTAGCTGCAACTTATTGTCCGTAGGACAAAGGGGAAGTGAGGCTTAAGAGTCAATAATTTTAGTAGGAATCTGTTATATTTTAAGTTTTCTGTTTTCACTTGTACCCAGCTAGTGATTACACCCTGTATCCATTTTCCACACAAAATCCCAAGGACTTTCAGAATCTCCTCTCGGTGTATTTGGATGCCACTTTTTTCCCATGTTTACGAGAGCTGGATTTCTGGTATGTAATGAATGATTGATTAGTTGGTACAGACTTGAGTATTTGAGTCACTATCAGCTTATAATTATTTGTTTGTCCTCAGGCAGGAAGGATGGCGGCTGGAACATGAGAATCCCAGCGACCCCCAGACGCCCTTGGTCTTTAAAGGAGTCGTCTTTAATGAGATGAAGGGAGTGTTTGTAAGTTTTCTTCCTTTTTTGTGTTGTGTTCAGCTTACCTTACCCATGTACAATATTGTCATATAGATGCATTTGGAAGATGGTTAACTTTTATTTAATGTTCTCATCATAGGTGATACCTTCTTTAATTAGCTGAGGTCAGTGCTGTGAGCAGAGTCATGGGGGTAGCAGAGCCAGGCTATTCCTCCCAGGGGTCTCAGACCGTGTCTGGGAATCCCTGTGTATGATCCGCAGGAAGACTGGGAGATAAAAGCTATTTTCGGCCGGGCACGGTTGCTCAAGCCTGTAATCCCAGCACTGTGGGAGGCCGAGGCGGGTGGATCATGAGGTCAAGAGATCGAGACCATCCTGATCAACATGGTGAAACCCCGTCTCTACTAAAAATACAAAAAATTAGCTGGGCATGGTGGCGCGTGCCTGTAGTCCCAGCGACTCAGGAGGCTGGGGCAGGAGAATTGCCTGAACCCGGGAGGCGGAGGTTGCGGTGAGCCGAGATTGCGCCATTGCACTCCAGCCTGGGTAACAAGAGCGAAACTCCGTCTCCAAAAAAAAAAAAAAAAAAAAAAAGGCTATTTTCATACCACTACCAAGACATCGTCTTTTTCACTCATTCTTGCCCAAGTACACGGTGAACTTTTTAGAGGCCACATGGCATGGTATGTGACACACAGCGAGCTGGATACAGAGCAAGTGGGAGAGTCCAGCTTTACCTCTGAGCCAGACGCTACAGAGATTGCAAGAAAGGCAACACAGCACCACTCTAAGTAGTCAGTTTTTTACTTTGAGAAATATTTTTCAAAAATGTTTATATTAACATATAATGATGGCTTACCTTAAGGAATAAGTATTTTTTAAATGTCTCAGCTTTAATTTAGAATACAGAAAAATTATATAAACAGGCACCTACATAGGCAAAAGAAGCCTACGTAATCAAAAGCTGTTTGGGCTCTCATTAAAACCTGTTTATACCTAGCGTTCCATTATTGGAATGCTAAGCTTGTGGGAGTTATTTATATTCCTACGGCACAAGGTCATTGCCAAGGTCTGAGTTTTTACACAAAAAATTGCAACCTCAGGCATAAATGGGTTAGTTTTTCAGAGTGTAAAGGAGTCTTGAGACCATTTTGGATTAAGAGCTGCTGTCCTGCGCCCATGTCTTCATGTCCCCTTGTGATTTTGACAACCTACCTGTCCTGATGTCCGAGGCTTGTGGGTAGCCTGCTCCCTGATTCCCATGGCCTCTCAGCTGGTGAACCATGTCTTGTCTTTTCATACTCAATTTAGGGGTCTTCCAAGACATCTTTTTAAAAATCTAGTTGGAGGCCGGGCACGGTGGCTCAAGCCTGTAATCCCAGCACTTTGGGAGGCCGAGGCGGGTGGATCACGAGGTCAAGAGATCGAGACCATCTGGGCAACGTGGTGAAACCCTGTCCCTACTGAAAATACAAAACATTAGCTGGGCATGGTGGTGCGTGCCTGTAATCCCAGCTACTCAGGAGGCTGAGGCAGGAGAATTGCCTGAACCCAGGAGGTGGAGGTTGCGGTGAGCCAAGATCGCGCCATTGCACTCCAGCCTGGGTAACAAGAGTGAAACTCCGTCTCAAAAAAAAAAAAAAAAAAAAATCTAGTTGGGGTGACAGCTTCTCCCCACCTCCGTCACAGCTGATAGGCAGCCCTGGTGATCCTCCTGATTTACAGCTCTCAGCTCTGCATTTGTTCAGCACACACTGAAGAGTCCCTTGTTCTCAATCCTCGGGTCCTGGGCATGGGTGATGAATGTTTGAATGCCATGTGAAACATTGCCTGCACATTGTCTTTTTTTTTTTTTTTTGCCGTTAGAACAGTTTTATTTGCAAAGTATTACAGATGTATGTACCAGAATGTAATTGACTATATAAGTGATGTAGTGTATATGTGTATTATTTTATATGTACTATTATTTATTTTACATTTCAAGGCAGACAATGAGAGGATATTCTCCCAGCACCTTCAGAACAGACTTCTTCCCGACCACACTTACTCAGTGGTGTCTGGGGGCGACCCATTGTGCATCCCGGAGCTTACGTGGGAACAACTTAAGCAATTTCATGCCACTCACTATCACCCAAGCAATGCTAGGTAATATTTTGTTGGAAAAGTTTGATGGTTGATTGTTAAAAGTTGACTTGTTTGTGTTCTTACACTTCATGGCATGGCTTTTCTCATATTTAGCGATGCTTAGGAAATCTCTAAGTCAAGGTAAGATTCTTGGCCTGATTTTGCCTATCTTATTGGATGTTGTTTTGGATGTTTACAGTGAGAGCCCTCAGTAGGCTCAGCATGGTGGTTACAAACATGGCATTTAGAGCCCCCCAGAGAAGGGTCCTGCCCCTCCCCCAACCTCTTGCATCACATCCCAGCTTTGTTGCGTTGAAAGTGGGGGTGTCAGGGTGGCGTCCACCCCTGCACAGGATGTGTGACGCTTCCAGCCCTGTCCTTGGCACTAGAAGTGCTCTTTCAATAGTGGATGCAGTTGCTGAACCTTAATTACATTCTCACTTTCTGATACATTGCTTGTTTCTTACGTCGCTAATATAACATAGTTATGTAATATATCTTATATAAAACACTAATATACTTACATATAAATGCTGATTTAAAAACACTTTAAGATTATTTTATGTAAAAATTATGAAAACTTTCAAGCATATAGAAAAGTAGACTAGAATAATGAACCCCAGAACACTCATTACATAATAGGTAATTATTTGCTGAAGTTTTTGGAGGTAAGTTATAGCTGTTGTGATCATTTACCCCTAAATATTTGAATTTGTGACCCAAAAACATGAGGATTTTTTCTAACACAAGCTAATTCCATTTTCAGTTTAATACACTAAAACATACTTTCTTAAAACCGCCTATTTCTTATACCGTATTCAAATTTTCTAGTTCGCCCCAAAATGTTTGATGCACAGGGTCCCTCAGGTCTCTCCTGGGCGCCCTTTCAGGGATGGCAGAGGAGCATGCAGGCCGGGCTTCCTCCGGGTCCCACATGTCGCATCTGGTTGGCCGGGGTCTCCTGGGCACCCCCTCGCACACAGCAGAGGAGCTTGCAGGCCAGGCTTCTCCGGGTCCCCCAGGTCACATCTGGTGGGCCAGGGGCCTCTCCTGGACGCCCCCTTGGGGATGGCGCATGAGCGTGCAGGCCAGGCTTCTCCCAGGTGCTCACTTTCCTGGTGGTCTGGCTGCTCCCTTGTGGTGGTGGGTGCCATGTTTCTGCATTTCCTGAGAGCTGGAACTTGGTTTGAGTCAGGCTGCGCCTTTTTAAGCAGAGTCTCTTGTGGGGAGCTCTGCATAACCGGCCACATCCTGCCATTGTGCAAGGCCTGCCCCCCTCCACTGGGGGTCTCACGCCAGGCGGGTCCATGCTGAGGGTCGGCCACTCCCTCGGGAAGATCTGCTTTTCCCTTTAGCCGAAGACCAGCTGGTGGGCTTGAGTTTTTGGTGTCCTGTGAATACTGAGTTCCTCATCAACCTATTAATGGTTTTCATATTCACTGAGGATTATTGCCTGAATCAAATACTTTATGAGAGTCTGCGAACTTCTCTAATTCTGTAATTTCTTCTTCATTTGTTTTCTGGACCTCTTCAAAGAAGAGCTCCTCATTCTGTTATGTGCTGTGTCTTGCGCTGCACGAGGGTTTGAAGACCTAAGAGGTAATAGCGGGGGATACAGACAGACATACAGGCAAACATAACACAGAGAGCTGGGCCAGGTGGCCCAAAAAGCTGAGGATGCCAGTCTCTTCAGCCCTGACCTGCCTCAGAGTACTTTATCTTATATGTTTACAAAGCACATCGCAGAGGGAGGGTGCAGTTACTTAGAACAGCTTGTGGTTATAGTTCTCACACTTCAGTTAACATGCTTCAGCTAACAGCTATCTTGCAGCAAGGTCAGTGAGAGCTGGTTATCTTTTTCTAGGCGCCTCTGCTTTTCTCTGAGACACACACATTCCCCTAGGATGGTTTCACTACTCTGGAGTTCACCCGAAGTTCACAGCAGCCTTGCTGCTGATTCCCCAGAGGAGGTGGGCTACTCTGGCTCTCTGCAATGATCACGTCAGCCGGGGCTGTTGGGTTGTCTTGAAATAGGATTCTGATGGAAAAGGCAGAGCCGGTTGCTCTCTGTGGGAGTCCAGTTTTAGGAGGAGGGGTGATGCAGGAACTATTTCTAATGATGACGGAAGACGCTGTCGACCCCGTTCCCCCCCTGGAAAAGAGTTTTTTTTTTTTTGTTTTTTTTTTTTTTTTTTTCCCCCGCCTTCTTTGTTTTGTTTTTAATACCACGATGACCTCACAGAAATATTTCTGTATGTATATATATTTGAGTTTGTGGAATCAGATGGGATGTATTCATTTTCATGCCCACATTTGCCCCGGCTGTTGACTCGTTTGGCCTTTGTTAACTTCTTTTGTCTCTATGCTTCCAGCCCCCACCTCCCCAACACATGCACACCCAGGCCCTCCTTGCTCCAGAGGTTCAACTGTTCGCTTCTGCAGGGACCTCTGCGGCTTCTCTGCTGATGAGGAAGGGCCTTTAGAGACCAGCATCTGGACACCAGGGGCAGTGATTGCTCCTGGATTCTCTAAACCCCTAGAGTGTAAAATTTGTTTCGAAATTCTAGAGTGAGAAATTGTTGAAGCTTAAGATACTAGTTCACCAAATCTTTTTTTTTTTTTTTTTTTGTCTTTTTGTTTTTATCCTTTTTGTGGAGAACGGGGTCTCGCTATATTGCCCAGGCAGGTCTCGAACTCCTGGGCTTAAGCTATCCTCCTGCCTCTGCCTCCCTGAGAGCTGGGATTACAGGCGTGAGCCACAGCGCCCGGCCTAGTTCACCAAATCTTAACGATAGCTCAGGCAACATGTAAATAAAAAGACAAGTTCTGCCATTGTAACCTTGTTCCTCTGGTTGAACAAATGTTTATCTTTATAAACACCTATAACCTTAAATTTGTTGCCAAAAATTGAATTTTGTGAAATTGTCGGTTGGATTACTATATTACCGTACCTAGGGCTATAAAGTATTTTAACAAATACCTCGTTTGATTTTTGTCACATGCTAAGATCAACTTTAAAATGAAAGATTAATCTTTGGCTGGGTATGATGGCTCATGCCTGTAAATCCGAGCACTTTGGGAGGCCAAGGCGGGGGGTATTGCTTGAGGCCAGGAATTTGAGACCCATATGGGTAACATAGAGCTTGCCTCTAAAACAAACTTAAAAATTAGCCAGGTGTGGTGGTATAATCCTGGCTACTCGGGAGGCTGAGGTGGGTGGATTGCTTGAGCCCAGGAGTTTGAAGCTACAGTGAGCTGTGACGGTGCCACTGCACTCCAGCGGATACCTGAAGCCAAGGATAGCACCACGCTCTGCGCATGAAAGTTGAACTTACAAATTGGGCACAGTGAGACGTTAACAACAATAACTAGTAATAAAATAGAACAGTTACAACAGTATACCGTAATAACAGTTATGTGAATTTGATCCCTCAAAGTGCAGTGATATTTTTGGACCTTGGTTGAGTAAGGTTAACTGAAACCGAAAGGCGAGTCCTCAGATAAGGGGCACTCCTGTGTACTGTATTTCAGTGAAAAAGACAGCACCTGATTTCAGATTTTTTAAACTAAAATTGACTAAATATGTTCTCTTAACATTTTAGATTCTTCACGTATGGTAATTTTCCATTAGAACAGCATCTGAAACAAATTCATGAGGAAGCACTGAGCAAATTTCAGAAAATTGAACCCAGCACTGTGGTGCCAGCTCAGACGCCCTGGGACAAGCCAGTGAGTGCTCTGCCGCGTTTGTGTCCCGCCTAGTAAAGATGTGAGATGAGGATGTGGCCTGGGTGTTCATACTGGGACTTCAGAGCCTATCATGGTCGGTACAGAGGATGGGAGAGCTTTTCAAGCCAAAAGAATGGTTATTTGTTTTAAAAGAATGTTAACTTAGTGGGAAGAATGTTTGGGTCCATTTTGTGTATTCAGAAAACCTGGAGTAGTTTGTAGGCATCAGACTCTGTACCTACTCACGCGTCACATCGTTTTACAGAGGGAATTCCAGATAACATGTGGCCCGGACTCACTTGCTGCAGATCCCTCTAAACAAAGAACCGTCAGTGTTAGCTTCCTCTTACCGGAGTAAGTATATGCTGCCAAAGCTCATAAAAAACACAAACATCAGGAAATATTCAGATCAGAAGGTTCAGAAGTGAGTTCTGTAATTGCATGTAAATTAATAGACGGGATTCAGGAGTTAAGTGGGTTCTAGGAATAAAGAACAAAATGTCAGGTTTTAATGCCCAGAATGGCTGAGGAAAATCATTTCTCATAGCCTCCGAAAGAAAGGTAATTGACTTAATGCTATTTCAAAGCTTGGTTTGTTGAAGTCACAGGGCACTTTGGAGTATGAGAATGGTACTATGAACACTCACCTCAGCAAAATATACCATAATCAAAACTTAGTAATGCCAGTGGTTTCATGAGATTAGGTCAGAACCATGCAGCAGGTGTTGAGGGAAGGAAATGCTTGAGCTCCAGGGGTGTGTAGGAAGGGAAGCTTGGGCCCTGGGGGTGTGGAGGAAGGAAGGCCTGGGCCCCGGGGGTGTGCAGGAAGGGAGGCCTGGGCCCCGGGGGTGTGCAGGAAGGGAGGCCTGGG